GCCCCGCCCGGGCGCCAACGGGAGCCTCAACGGCAGCGCGGCGGAGCCGCGAGCGGGCACCCCCTACCCCCTGCACGTCACGCTGGCGCTGGTGGGCCTGGCGGGGCTGCTCATGCTCGTCACGGTCTTCGGCAACGTGCTGGTCATCATCGCCGTCTTCACCAGCCGCGCCCTGAAGGCGCCGCAGAACCTCTTCCTGGTGTCGCTGGCCTCGGCTGACATCCTGGTGGCCACCCTGGTCATCCCCTTCTCGCTGGCCAACGAGGTGATGGGCTACTGGTACTTCGGCAAGGTGTGGTGCGAGATCTACCTGGCGCTGGACGTGCTGTTCTGCACCTCGTCCATCGTGCACCTGTGCGCCATCAGCCTGGACCGCTACTGGTCCATCACGCAAGCCATCGAGTACAACCTCAAGCGCACGCCGCGCCGCATCAAGTGCATCATCGTCATCGTCTGGGTCATCTCAGCCGTCATCTCCTTCCCGCCGCTCATCTCCATCGAGAAGAAGAGCGGGCAGCAGGCCGACCAGCGGGCGGCGGGCTGCAAGATCAACGATGAGAAGTGGTACATCATCTCCTCCTGCATCGGCTCCTTCTTCGCCCCCTGCCTCATCATGATCCTGGTGTACATGCGCATCTACCAGATCGCCAAGAGCAGGACCCGCGTGCCGCCCGGGCGGCGGGGGGAGCCCTCAGAGAAGAGGCAGAACGGGCTGGCCGACAAGGAGGCGGCGCCCACCACCACCAAGCTCAACGGGGAGAAGGCGGCGGGTGGAGAGGACCAGGAGAGGGAGGTCAACGGCTTAGACATGGAGGAGACGTCCTCTTCCGAGCACCAGGAGACCCACCCGAGCAAGAAGCAGGAGAAGCCGCCGAGGGGCAAGGCCAAGACCAAGCTGAGCCAGATTAAGCCGGGGGACAACTTGCCCCAGCAGGCGGAGGAGGAGAGGAATGCCAAAGGGTCCCGCTGGCGGGGGAGGCAGAACCGGGAGAAACGCTTCACGTTCGTGCTGGCCGTGGTGATCGGGGTCTTTGTCGTCTGCTGGTTCCCCTTCTTCTTCACCTACACGCTCACGGCCGTGTGCAAGAGTTGCTCCGTGCCCGAAACCCTCTTCAAGTTCTTCTTTTGGTTCGGCTACTGCAACAGCTCCCTGAACCCCGTCATCTACACCATCTTCAACCACGACTTCAGGAGGGCCTTCAAAAAGATCCTCTGCAGGATAGACCGGAAAAGGATCGTGTGATGAGAGGATGGTGCAGGACTTGGCCACGTGAGAGAGAGAAACACAGGTCCCTTGAGCTGGTTTTGCAGGTGGGGTCGTTCCCTCCTTTTCAAAACTGAGATGAGACGAGCTCTTAAAACACCGGGCAGCAAAAACCACAGGAGCGACGGCAGGCAAGTGAGGCACAGCCTCGGCATTTGGGGTTTGCAAGCGGATGGCTTTTTACTTGCCGATCGATCAGTGGATACGTTCGTGACTCACACGCTTGCCCCTTGAAAAACTAAAATGAAACACTGACATCCACGCCCGAGAGAGGATTGCACAGCCCCGGAGGCACAGAGGTTTTTTTTTTTCTTTTTCTTTTTGGATGTGTAGTTTAAAGTTTCAAATCCTTGTATAAAAACACAGTATTGCATCCTGTATGTCTTAATTTTTGTAAGGCAATCGGCTTTGAAATGAATGCTTTCGATATTCTCAACACCTTGAAGCATTAAACAGAAAAACCACCAAGATTATTGGAGCCATCTCATCAACTCAGCAGTCTGATAGTATTATCAAGATTTTCAAACATGCTCTTGGATTTGGGGTATAAAGCTTGTAAAGGCAGACCTGACAATATTGGGCATTGTTGGGGTTTTTTGATGTAGGTACCTTATTTGTTTCCTTTTTTGCCTTACCTATTGTTTAATTGTTAGGAAAGAAACTTTCTTTACCTGTTAACTAAAGGGTGGGAGGGGGGGATTAACTGGTTTCTCAGCTCAGTCGGAAATAATCCAAAAGACTGAGAACAATGATCTCGTTTTGCTTCCAGCGGGATGCTTGAGAGCAGTCTGGTTCTCCAAGGGTTAATAGAAACACATCTCCCACTACATTGCAGCACTGAAATGTATTGTTTTTTCCCACCCGGATTGTAAATAGATCCCATTTTAAGGTAAAGATCAGGGTTACATGTATCATGTTATCTGATTTGTATTGATTTGCTTTTTCTTTTCTCTTTGACATTTTAATTCTCGCTGTATTTCCTGCACAAGAAACAGGGTTTCGCGCACAAAGGCAATGCTGCCTTGCTGCACGCCCTGATAAGATTTAAGGTTTTTAATTTTCTGGTTTCATCCTCAGTGGGAGTGGTTGAACTCCCCCTCTCGGAGCCGAGGATTATCCAGAACAAAACTTTAAAGGGGGGGGGAAACTTTCAGAGAATCTGCCCCTATATTTTGTAGTGTAAAGATGCATTTTGATTTTTTTTTTTAATTGTGTAAATGGCATTATAGTGGACTGGGAAAAGAGGAGTTCATGTTGCTTTTACACTGTCTCCCTTTTACAGATGTATCTTCTTACAGGGGAAAAAAAAAAAAAAGGAAATCCAACATCCTGAAGACAATTTTCTGAAGGATAGTAAAAGGAGAAGGAAAAAAAAAATTCCTCCTTCTCTGCCATTCCCAATAAACTACTGGGAAAAAACAAACTTTTACAGCTTTATTTCATAATGACAGGTCAAAGAAATCAATTGGAAAAGGGAAAGTTTGTTGAAATCTCCTTAGTGCCAGCTGAATCGGATGAGACGGGAGATGCCAAATGCACAGACGCAGACCTGAAGGAGGGAAAAAACCCAACTTTCTACATTGACGTGCGTGGTGTTCATTTTGCTCTCTGGGTTTTGACTTTGTAATGAGCTCCCAGGGGCCCATGCCACCCGGGGGGTCGGAGAGCAATGTTTACATTCGTTTAGGTTTTCAAAATCGAATCCCTCGAGAGGCGAGGGAGGGAAAAACCTCCTCCCTTTCCTCTACCTTTTAAAGAAAAAAAAAAGTCAGCGGACGTTGCTATAATGGATTATTATTTTTATTAAATAAAGAAAAGTTTACAGATCAAATGTAAAATCAATCTGTATGGTCTGTTCATCTGTACGGTCGGTTGTCCCTGACCTCTCCGGGAGCTTGGGGTCCCGCCAGCTTTTTAAAGCAGCTATGAGAAGAGGAGCTGTGTTTTTTTTCAAAGCCACGATGGCACCGACAGCTCCACAACGGTGCGGCGCGTTGTGCCGTGGCGTGATGACGAACGGGTCCTTGACGTTTCGCTTTCTTCTTCGGCGCCACGGCGAGAGCGTTCGTGTGCTCCTTAAAGAACGGGGCTTGGGGTTACGCAGTGTGATGCGCCCTTTGCAAATTGAGCTCGGCAATATATTTCCCCCTGGCCGGAATATCTGTCTGGTTCGGTATTTGCAAAGAGCTGACGGGGCTCTGAATAATTAGGCCCTAAATGTAATCAGAAATGATTAGCGCAGGAAGGGCTCAGCGATGGGTGCTGTGGAACCGCATCTCTCCAGCCACCTGACTTCAAGACAGCGTTTTGCTGGCTGGCTGCAAGGCTCAGGCACTGGGGCGGTGGAAGCGTATTTGCATGTGAAAGCAAAGCTGGGAAAACATGCCCTTTAGCTACTTTCTAGAAGAGGAAGGAAGTCTTTCCCCTATGGGAGATGGTGCTGCTATGTTGCTATCTGCGTTACGGGATCTCGGGGATCCTCCTGGGCCCTGGGCAAATGTGCCCTAGAAGAGTGGGACTCTCCAGGCCTTCTTCGTGTGCTAAGATTTGCTCAGAGAGGGGTCCGGGAGGTGTTGTGCATGCTGATGGTTAAGCACATGCAGAAGCGTTTGTAGGGTTAGGGGCTCAAAAGGGTAGTGTCCCCTTTCAGCTCTCCTGGGTCTTGGGTACGCAGCTTGAGGCACCTTGAAAGGAGCATGCCTGATTGCCGAACATGCAGCTGAATGCCAGCCTGGTGGGTGTCTGTTTGGGCACCCCTCGAATCAGCAGTTGCACACGTTTGCTTTTTGACTTATAAAAGAGAAGGCAGGGCCGGATAGCACCTTAGAGACTAACCAGTTCAGAGAGGCATGAATTTTCAGCAGCCAGTCACCTATAAAAGCCCATGCCTCTCTGAACTAATTCATCTCGAACAAAGGTGCCCCCTGCCCTGCCTTCTGATTTGAGTAACGCAGCTGAACTGCCTCGCTGCTTTATAAAAGTAAGTGGACAGGGTCCGGCGGATGGACCCGGAGGGGCTGTGGTGGAGCCCAACCGTCCCGTGAACGCTGCGTTTTCCTTGGCAAACCCCCAGATGGGAATGGGCCCGGAGGGTGGAAGCTCTGGAGGCCGGCGTTTGAATGCTTGATGGTTCAATGCCATCACAAAATGACCCTCTTGTCTGGAGAGGTGGAGGAGGGAGCAAGTGTAAGGCAAGGGGAGAGGGGTGGCAGGTGGGCTGGGAGACAGGACTGGCCTTGTCCCAGGGCTGGCCTCTGTTGGGTATAGTTTGGGGGCATCAGCACAAAGTTGTGCGGATGGGTCTGTGCGAGGTTGCCCTGGGGGTCCACATGTGCCATTTACCGGGTCCGTGTCCTGCTCAAAGCTCTCTGCCCCCACAGCACGGGCCTGCCCGTTGTCCCGCCGCCTCCCCGTCGCTACCGTGCAGGTGAGAGCCATCTCTGGGGGTGCTGAAGGTTAATCCATTAATATTCTTTCATGAGCTGCTTGCAGACCAAGAATCTTACACCTGCCTCCTCTCCTCCACCCCCAGGGAGAAAACACAGGCATAAACCGAATGCCTGGCTGGGGTCGTCTGACCTCAGACCTTTTGCTGCCTGGGGGAGGGGGTCGGACACGATGATCCTTCGGGGTCCCATCTGACTCTACATAATCTATGAATGGCTCCATCGCTGGAGGCTAGGCCTGTGGTTATTCCCATTTGTTCACTGCAGATCAGTCCAGGGAGCTGATTTCTACAACATATTAAAACCGTCTGTTTTATTTTGGGACAGGTCCTCGCCGCTGGCAGCTTGGACACAGCTGGCTGTTTGTTACTCTTGCAGTATCCGGCTGTGTTTGCCTGCTTGGTGCTGAGGGTCCTGAGCTGCTGTCTGCGCTCCCTCTACTGGCAGGGGAGCCGTGTGCTTGGGGCGGGGTGGGAGTGCCTGGTTTCTAGCCCAGGCTGACGTCTCTCTTTGCCCCTTAGGGCTCTGGAGGTGTCACCACATGCAGGGTCCTGCTCCCCCTGCACCGGGTGCAGATTCCTGTGCGTGTCTGGGGGTGTCAAATCAGGCTCTTGTTCCTGCCGTGTGCCAGTGACATGGGGAGAAGGAGCTGACAGCTCTCACAGTCTCTCTGCAAGCCCTGGTTCGTCCCCAACCAGGGATGGATTTGGCTGCCCTGTTGCTGGGCTCTCTCCTGCTGCATCAGGTCTCTGCTGTACTTCGCAGCACGCACGATGCTTGCGCTTCCCTTGTCTGCCCACCTTCCCTCGCACAGGAGAAAACCCATTTGTTGCCTTTAGCGTTCCCAGCCTTTTTTCCCAGGCAGATTGCACAGGTTAATGGACTTTGGCTAATCTTCATCACCTTGCATTTGCGGGCTGAAAGGTTAATGGTGCCTCTTCCCCTTGTAGGCCAGACGCCGAGTGGGGTGGTTAGGCGTAATGAAGTGGTAATCTCCTGGAGAGGCACCAGTTCCCACGAGCTGCGGGGATGCCACATCGTGCACCAAGATAGGTGTGCAGGGATCTGAGAATCGTAAGGTTGAATAATTGCCCTGAATACAAGGGGAAAAATGATGTCAGCTCTCCACAGCCCTCAGACCAGGGGGCAAATTGATCACAAGGGACCCCCTCCTTCTTTCTCTTTGTAGCCTCAGATCATCAAACACGAGTGATCCACTGATCACTCTCAATCACGCTGGGTGTCCTAGGTTTCAGCCCTGCCTGCAGGCCCACACAGGAGGATACGGGGGTGGGTGTACCCTGCTTCTTGCACCGGCTTCTCAAACAACAGGGAACAGCTAAGCGGGGGCAGCCGCATCTGTGGAGCTGCACTGCCGTCTCCAAGAGAAGACAGGTTGGAGTCCTCCAAACACACCTGTCTGGGTGGCTGGGTAGTGTCCGGTGTCCCACATCCAGAGCTGACATAGGACGGAGATCCCTCCAAGGTGACAAACCGGAGGCAGAGGATGACCGTGAGTATGACTCCCCTTGGGGGAAGCTTGCACAGAGCTTGCACAGGTTTGCAGCAGCTCTCACCTAGGTTTGAAGCCAGGACGTGGCAACGCAGGTGTGGGTCTTGTGGCTTCACTGGTTGCTAGCCACCCAGTTTGGGAAAGGAAGTCTGGGGGCAAGTTTCCGCAGCAGGAACGGAGCAGTTGCTGCACAGCCAGGGACTGGTGTTTCCGTACGTAATTCTGGTTGCGGGGTGGGGAGGGAAAGTTTCATATAGTTTCATCGTTGTTAGGGTCGGAAGGGACCTCAGCAGATCATCCAGTCCGACCCCCTGCCATGGGCAGGACTGATTGCCGGGGTCAAATGACCCCGGCCAGGTGATTGTCTAGCCGCCTTTTGAAGACCCCCAGGGTAGGAGCAAGCACCACTTCCCGGGGGCAAGGCCTGGTCCTGAAGTCCTCGTACTGCGCCCAGTCTCGCTCTTCCCTGTGGGTTTTGGAGGGGTGCATGCTGCTGGCTCAGGCACACAATTTTTAAAGTGCTCTGGGCTCTTTTGGGATTCAACAAACTGCATAAATGAGAAACAGCCCAGCCAGGCTCCTGGACAGACCAAGCCTTGGTCCAGCTGACTCCACCGCTGGTACCTGAGGGTCCTGGCAGTGGGAGCTCCATCCACAGCACCAGGCAGCCAACCCTGGCACCGAGCACCCTCAAGCCCTGAAACCAGCCCCCCCCGGATGCTGCCCCTGTTCCTAGTGCAGCAGCAAACTGGGCCCAGTGCCCTAGAGAGGTCCCTCCGGGTCCGGTGGCTGGTCATGGGGAGGAAGAAGGAGAGAGGTTCTCACCAGAATAGAGGGTTTGGCTTTCCCCGTTCATTAGGCACTGGGAAAGTTCAAAGTCTGCGGAGATTATTTCTTTATTGCAGCCGGCGCCCTGGCGGATCCCTGCACTTGGAGCTGGGTCCCGGTTTCTATTATAAACCTCATGTCACAGCTGATCTGCAGTGACTTTTTTGTGACTCCCATGTTAAGTATGTGTAGCATATGTATGTGGCTCTTTCCAAGCTGTCAGCACAGTGAAAACATAGGCATTATTTGGCTGGAAGACCCTCCTCCCTCCTCCTCCTTTGACAGTGAGGAAATCTGGGCTCTGTTCTGACCTCTGGCGAGCCACAGTTTGAACCCGTTGGCACAACTCCCCTGGATGTCAAAGGGACCAGATGTCCAAGGCTGTAGCTTTGCAGTGGAAGGGATCGACATATCTGCTCCATGCCCAGAGGAGCAACCAGGTCAGGGCAGTGTTCGGGGCTTGGTGGTGGGCACGCAGTGCTGTGCAGATGGGCTTATGCTCCTTCCAGTTCAGCAAGCACAGGGCGGGCAAGGCCGGCGGTAGGACGGTGCTGCCTCGTGCCATATACACACACCCTATCTGTGCCTTGGGTACCTCACAGTGATATGTGACCCAACAAGTGTTGACGCCTAGCACATTTTGCCCCTTGGCTCTGGCACATCTTATCTCAATCTCTAATTTTGCTGCGTAAAAAACCCCACATGATCCACTCCAGGGCATGACCGGTACATTGGAAAGGTGCAAAGGTTCATGGTGGCAAATGAGTTAGCGTATAAAAGGAGAACCTCTGACCCAATAGCTGAGTCTCAAAGCTCACACCAGACCTGAATCGAGCCTGTGAGGTCCCAAGAAAGGGTCGATGAGTGTCTTCTCTTCCATTATGTTTAATGGACAAGCATCACTGCGCTCCCAGGACTCAGTCCCGGCCGTGACCCTGATCTCTGTGGCTGACCCTCCTGGGCTGTTTTAGCTCAGCTAGAAGCCTTGGGGAGAGCGTCTATCGGCAAACATCACAGCGCCATTTGGAGAGACCCTTTCTACTTTGGATAGTTCAGGTTGGCCTCAGCCAGGCATCCAGGCATCTGAGCGGTGACCTGGGCCTTCTTGAGATTCGCTGGTGCCCTGATCTGATTAGCAACGTGCCCCTAGGGAAACATGTGAACCTAGGTCGAAACATTTCCCAAACCCAGGAGCATTTGGCTCTGGGGGTTTTGGTTTTTTTGGCCAGGCCCTCGAGTTACTGCTCAAGCGTCCTCTGGGGATCAACGGGAGTTTTACCTGTGCAAGGGGGGTGCGGGAAGTAGCTTCTGTTCTTCATGGATCTGGACCGGTTCCCTGTTCTCGGCAATCACTAATCAAACAACGTGGGGCCAAAGCATGAGGCTGTTGCTTAGGAGAATGCCTGTTGGCTCCCTATTGCCAGTTTAAGTCTCCTTTTGTGGAGAAAACCCCCAGGTACTAAAGGGCTGTAACACGGTGCTCAAAGGCAGAACAAGAACCGGTGGTTAGACACACGCCAATGAACAACGCACTTCTTCCGCAGGAGTGGGGAGCGACTGTGAGACCAAGCTTCCCCGTTCAGTGCAGGATTCAGCCTCTCTTGATGTCTCCAAGATGCCTTTCTGGAAAATGTCTTCAAACACAAGTTATTGGACTCAATAGGAGTCATTGGGGTGGGGGGTTGAATCCCATGACCCAGGCCATAAGGCCAGAGTAGGTGATCTAACAGCCCCAGACGGCCTTACTAGTGACCGGGCAGGGGGAGACACCATGATCAACCAAGTGGTTTTGCTTACCTGGCAAGGGAGATCCCCTTTTTCTCGGCTTTGAATGACTTAGCGTAGTTAGAGGGTGAAGGCCTGTCCCTCGCACTGCGGGCAAGCTGGCTCCCGCGGGAGTCTACAACTGCCTCCAATGCAAGGATCTCGGCTACACAACTTATGGTGATGGGGGATTGCTCCTGGGCTTTCCCTCTAGCTTGCTACAAGCTAGAGCCAAACAAGACTAGGAGGCATCTGAACTCCAAGGCCTCTGGGCTAAGGGCTTGCAGGCAGGATACCTGCCATGGCTTTGGGAGTATCTGAAGCCCCAGGCTGAAGAGTCTGGGCGGTAGGATACTCGCTACATAGACTTGAACGATTGAGCTCTGCTCAGTCAATAGACTTTGGAAATGATTTGGCTGATTTGGCCTGACACAAAATTAAAAACAAAAAAATTTACCCAGCACCTCTGAATCTGCAGAAAAGGCCCTGGGGGTTACAATGGACAAGCAGCTGAATATGAGTCAGCAGTGCACCCTTGTTGCCAAGAAGGCTAACAGCATCCTGCGCTGCATTAACAGGAGCGTTGCCAGAAAATCAAGGGAAATAATTATTCCCTTCTCCTCAACACTGGGGAGGCCACATCTGGAGTCTTGTGGCCAGTTTTGGGCTCCCCGCTACAGAAAGGATGTGGACTAGTTGGAAAGAGTCCAGTGGAGGGCAATGAAAATGGGTCAGGGGCTGGGACACTTGACTTGTAAGGAGAGGCTGAGGGCACGGGGCTTATTTAGTTTGCAGAAGGGAAGACTGAGTGGGGATTGACTAGCAGCCTTCCCCTCCCTGCCGGGGGGTTGCAAAGAGGATGGAGCTGGGCTGTTCTCAGTGGGGGCAGATACAGGACAAGGAGCAATGGGCTCAAGTTGCAGCAAGGGAAGTTTAGGTTGGATATTAGGAAAAACTTTCTCACTAGGAAGGTGGTGAAGCACTGGAGCAAGTTACCCCAAGAGGTGGTGGAGTCTCCATCCTTGGAGGTTTTCAAGACCCGACTAGACAAAGCCTTGGCTGGGATGATGTAGTTGGGGCTGGTCCTGCTTGGAGCGGGGGGTTGAACTAGATGTGACCTCCTGAGGTCCCTTCCAACCCTCATTTTCTATGTTTCTATGAATTTGGCCCATATGGTTTAAACACAGAAGGCAGCAGCTCTGCTCTCCTCCTCTAGACGAGCGCTGTTAAGCTCACTTTCAGAGCGCACACAAACATTTGCTTAAAATCAGCTTGTCACTTCTCCCATGCAGGGGCCTTCCCTTGTTATCTCAAACCGCTTTGCTTTGTCAGATGCTTTTTTTTTTTTTTTTGAGGCTTTTCATAAAAAAAACATTTCCCACTGATGGCTGAGCATCTGCGACAGAGTAACGCCTGCCCTAGGCTGTATTTGTTTGCAAGCCGCATGTTGTTGCAGTGCCTGTGTGTGACACTCCAAAACCTCAATGCACGCGTTGGAGGGGGGGGTGGAAATCTGGTGCAAAAAAATGTATATGACAGGTTGGGGACAGTCCCTGAATTACTGGCTAAATTAATAGGCTGTTAGGGACTGGAATAACAAGTGCTGAGTTTTTCTGTCTCTGCAAGTGCTTTGTGTTAGGACAATTGATTGGAAAGCCAGAAGAGTTCGTTCCCAGCAGAAGTGGAGATGGCGAGATTGCAGGTGGGACAAATCTGCATGACTCCTGAGGCTCTACCAGGACTATGCTGATCTACGCCCATTGAGCCTTTGGCCCGCTGGTTGCAATTACACCTGCATTTATGATCTCAGGGTAAATGATACATACTTCTGCCGCTCTGTAGGGCAGAGTGCTTTGCACGCAGACGTCGGAGCTGAACACGGTGCCTGAGGAGGATTTTGCATTAGCTTCACACGTCTGTAGCTTTGCAACCCAGCTACATCGCAGACCCATTGCTCATTCCCCAGGCCCATGGTCTGGTGAAGAATTGCTGGTGATAGCACTTCAACATGTATCATGCTCAGTAGATCAGACAGCGCTTTAGAAAAGGAGGTCGCCATCATTATTGCTTGATTACAAATGGGGAAACTGAGTCACAGAGCAGGGACGTGGCAAGGAGTCCCGGGACAAAGCAGGGTCTAGCACACAGATTCTCCCGAATCCAAGGCCACGAGAGCGATGTTGCTCTCAGGATGTCACCGCACGTCTCGTGCTGTGGGGTGTTACTCTGCAAGTCTCAGCAGGGCTGGACACAGGCATGGGCGAACCGGGTGGCCGCCTCGAGCCCGGGCAGAAGGGGAGCCCCAAAATGGCAAGGTGGGGTGGGGGCGGCAATACTAAAAGTTCACCCAGGACTGCCAGGAGTCTAGGTACAGTGCTGAATCCCAGCCGCTGGAAAGCTGGGATTCGATGAGAAGCCGTTTCATGTCTGCAAGTACAGGCTCTTCCTTGCCCTCGTGGTGCCTGGGCAAAGTTGGGAAGTGTGACCTGAGCACAATCCTGCGAGATCTGACATAAAAACTAGCCTGCAGCTCCTTGTATTCCCCTTGGAAGTGTTAAGCCAGCGCCCAGGTTTTGGAGGGGGCTGACTCCTGCTTGCTTTGAGCAGCTGGGGCTGTGTTTGAAGGCATCTATAGCTTAAGGCAGTGCAGGGTTTTTAGGGCCATGAAGGCTTCTGGCTTTGGTGCTTAGATGCCCTTGCACACAAGTAGCCTGTGAAATCGGATGGCAGCTCTGACTAATGCCAAGCAACAGGAGGCTTTAGCCATGGCCTCTTAGCAGCCTTCTTCTGCGTCCGCCGCGGTGGGGCTGCTGGCTTCCCAGTGCCATGGGCTGAATGGGCTGTGGGGGCTAGTCTTCTGGAGTCAGGCTGGAAAAAGAGGCAGGTGAGAAACCCAGGGAGGACAAGGCTACCATCCTCATTGCTCCTGGAGCAGCGGCTGCTTCTTCCAGCACCTGGGCATCCTGCATGCCTCAGCAAGCACTTTGCTTGCATAAGTACCAAGACCTTTGTTTGAAACACTGAAGGGGTGACTCTGCCTATATGCAGGGCACAGCTTTTCGGGGTAACAGGTGGCAGAGACAACGGTGCCCATGCTCACACCCACCGTAGTGCAGTTCCTCCATGGCTGGGGTGGCGGAGGAGCGGGGTGAGGCAGTGACTAATCTTTGCTCTGAAATATAAAAGAAACAGGTTTTTTGGGTTTTTTTCCTCTCCAGCAGTGAATGCTACAGACCACACACCAGGATATCCTTATAGACGTGGATCCAGGAGCCCTGCTTGGCGTGCACTTGAAACCGGTGAGTGTGGCTTCCTCGTTCAGCATTCAAATCCATCCCTGTGCGAGCTGGTGTGAACACCAAGTTTATTAACAGGGTTACTTCCCTTTTCTGAGCTCATGCAGGAGCTCGGGGGTGGGAGAAATGAATTATATTTTGCAATGCAATATTTCCTGCATAAAATCATTTGCAATTGAAATCATTTGCTTGGATATCAATCTCTAGGTCACTGTCCATGCTCCATAAATGGGGCCTGCCTATTTCTACGTACACCACCTCATACTTCTCATTGCAGCGTATGTTGAAAGACACCCATCTCGCCTCCTTCCCAGAGCCACATGTAGGCTGGCACTCCAAAGTGAATGCCATGACCAAATCCTTCATGGAAGAAAAAGCTTAAATGACTAGTAGTGTGTAATGACCTTCCCCCCCCACTATAACCTCCATTTCATTGGTGTTGCTTTCTGCTGAAATAACTTTTCAACAATAAAAGTTAGGGGCTGCCAAAGCTTTTTGGAAATAGGCACTTGCGGACTCCAGCAAGTGTGAAATGGGTCCCCCGGTGAGACGGGTGCTGGGGCAGTCGGCGGTGGGAACGTGTCACCGGTTGTAACGGTTCAGACAGTGAGCCAGAAATCAATGTTGTACAGGGCAGATAAGGGAGAAAAGCAGCATCGATTCCCCTCCCTTCCAGAGATGCCACGGTCGTCTGCACCGTTCAGCCCCCGCGGTTGAGAGGACCTGGGAGTGCGGCATGTAGTAAACTTCGAGGGAGGTGGAAAAAAAAAAATCACAAGTCTGCTGAGTCATAATCACAGCCCTGACAGAGGCAGCAAACGGCAGACTTCAAGGGACAACACCAGGGTTGTAGAGGAAACATTTAATGTGGAGCAGACACACGAGGACTATTAGTGGAACGGAGAGATGACTCAAGCAATCTGGCTAATGTACAGGACACGTAAGTACAGTCAGAAGGGGGAAAAGCGAGCGTGTAAAGATGCCATCTCTGTCCTTAGCGGGTCAGTGCTGCGTGCATTTTGACTCGGGCCTAATTTGCCTTTGTGATGAAAACAAGTTGTAACTCCGTGGAGCCGACGGCTGCAAGTCCGGTGGACGCGACACTAACTGCGCCGGGTGCCGTGGTGCAGGGAGAGACTCTAGCACTGGGATGAGCCAGAAAGAGCCCAGCTGGACGTACACAAGCAGCTCAGCTCACACACGATAGTTGTAGCCGTTCACATTGCACGCTTATCCGGAGCACGTCTCCCTGCAATGCGACGCAGGCAATAGGCAGTCCCTGCATCCCCAGTCCCAGTCAGTCGGAGCAGGTTAATATTCCTCCCTTGCACCTAAAGCCACCTATTTTAATAGCTCCATTGTCTTGTATTTCTTTTCTCTTTTACTGTCAGTTGAGCACAACGGTGACCTCATTGCAGACTCCCAGCCCAGGGTAATCTGGGATGTATCACAGGTCATCCCCTGCAGTCATTACTGCTGGAGAAGGGCTCTCTGCGCAGGTGAGTATTGCTTAATTAGAAAGGAAAACAAGTAATGAAACTCTGCAGTCAGACCCTTGACTCGTCAAATCCGGAAAAACCAGCCTCGCAGTCCTTAGCTGTTTGCTCGCAGCACAGTTGTGCCGGAGAGAAGCTGGTAGGTCTGCGAATTAATGATGTGCTCCGCACTCCTGGTTTGCAGTCGCTGCACTCCTCCCGTGCGGTTTGCTTGTCAATCTGTGCCACGAGTTTTCAGAGCCGATCAGATTATTCACTGCACATTAATCATTCGGTCAGCTGAACTTTCGCCCCCTCACAGAAATCAATCCCGAGCGGGCTTTTACTTTTATGGATTTGTTCATTAGTTGTCCTCAGTGGAAGAGTTAATAGTTAAACCTTTCACACTTGTTTTCTCACATCAGGGTGCCAAAGTCCATACTTGGATGCCAAGATACAAGGAGCCTGATTTCCCGAAGTGTTCAGCACTTAGAAGTTCGTCTGGGATTAATGGGAGCTGCGGGCGTTCGGCACCTCTGACCGTGTCTTTGTACCTGGATTTGCGCTCCTGACATGACACGCGCGCGCAGGGTAGACCATTTCAGTGCCTCTGTTGTTTGCAGGCTGTTCGTGTGTCTCAGTTGTGATGTGGTAGTGTTGTTCGACCGGACCTCTTAGTCCCCGTAGTATTGTTTCACCTACTTGAATGGATAAGTGAAATATTTTTAAACAAGCAAATAATATAGGACCAAACGTCCTGTTCTTTCCCCCTCCCGTGACTGCCCTTGACTGAGTGCAGAGGAGGCCATTAGGGCGAAGGACAAGGAAGAACGCAAATCTGTAGGTCTGAGTAAAGGATAAAAAAGACAGCCAAAAAGCCATAATGAACGGAGTCTGAATGAGTGTCTGTGAGCACTGCTTTTGTCCCATTCCCCCAGCTCTATCAGCAGGCTGCGAAGGTTTCTGGTGGAGAGTTTAATTTCCCTAAAGATGCAATAGGCATTTGCTCCTCCTTTCTAAAATTATTCAGATACCTTATAAATATTGCAGCATATTGCTTTATTTGTACGAGCCCGGCACTGATTTATAACCTTTAGTGACAAATAAATCCACTCAGCTCACAGGAGTAGATACAGTTTTAATTGTTAACAAAAGGGCATTTATTTAATGACATCACTTCCGTTCATTTTGCATGTGTGTTAAGGCACGGGGTGGGGTTGGGGTCGGGAAAGTGAGTTGGATTGATGGGCTCGGGGAATGAAATCATGTCATTATCCAATGGGACAGAGTAGGTGATTGCAACTCCAGGCATCGCCGCTGCACCGCCTTGCGGCCGCTGGCATCACGCCGACAGCGGGAGAGAGGGACACGTGCCGCAGTCCGCTCATTCTTCAGCTACTTTCATTTACCAAAAGGACCAACTTGTCCCGTACGCAGCCCTCGGTCAGGGTTCTCTCAGGTTATTCCCACGGATACTGTATTTGTGCTAGGTGCTGTACAAACATGCCTGTGATCCCTTGGCTTGAGGCCTGGGCTAACAAATGGTTGTTGACCTACATCCGGGTGAGGAGAACATGTGGTAAGTCAGGGCTGATGTTACGAACGTGCGCTCCAGCCCCTGGTCACATATGACTATGCAGCTAGTAGCTATATTGGCTTGGGGGGGTGGGTGTGGGTGGGATTGGGTCAGTTTAATAGTGGGAAATAGGTGGGTTAAACACCCAGTTTAATAGTAGGAAATAAGTGGGTTAAGGGGGTGCGGGGGTGGGATTGGGTCAGTATAATAGTGGGAAATGAGGAGGAAATGAAGCTTTGAGTAAAGGTTTGGGACTACAGTCACGGGGTAGGGGGGACTTAGGCAAATCCCAGGGATCAGGCAGGGCTTCTGGAGAGCGAAATGTTTGGCTTAAGTGTCTGAAGTGGCAGTTCGGTGTCTAAGTGCCATAGCCGTGGCAGTGTTTTGCTGCCATACCTGTGTCAGTCCCAGGTAGCTTGTACCCCCTAGCCAATGTAATTATGTTGGCAATCTGCACCGCCCACACCTAAAACACCCGCACACTTGAAAGCAGCCATGCCAGGGATGCCAAACTCACCCCTGTGGGCTGGATGAGCAGCCAGACCAGCCCCACAGACGAGCGGGTGTCCTGACCGGCGTCTGTCCACCACAAAACACTTGGACAAGAACTTCTCGAGTTATCCGTTCAATCCTCGGTTGCAGCTTTCTTGCCAATGCCGTGAAGACTCGGAGGTGTTGAAGTATCACTGCCACGATGGTTAGGAAATATATGAGGAGTAAGGGTTTTCTGATGGTTTCTTTTATTGGACCAACTGTAGAGTTGGGAAGGATGTTAGGCAAGCCCTGGCAAATATCCCCCTTGCTTGCTCTGTAGCCTGTTGTTTTTTAAGCTAGTTTAAGAGAAGCAAATTGGCAGTGGTTTCTAACTACGAGCCAGTGTATGGGCAGAAGCTACCAACAGCTCTCACCCCTGAGTTGGAGATTTAAAGGCTTGTTCTGGCTCCCATAAGCTCAGTCTTGTCCGATGAGCCGTGAGTGGGGATGGGTACAAAGCCGTGCCATGGTATTGTGCATACAACTTGCAGCCAAGGCCCTGGGGGTCACGCGTGTCCATTGGGAGCATGCTCTACTTCCACAGCTATACTGGGGCACATGGCTAATGCCCGTTGCCACCAGAGTACATTGATATTTAGCTTGGGCATCCGCAACCCAAGTCTTAGGCAAGCGGAGCATGGGGCAGCCCACCCTGCTTTCTCCTCTTTTTATGCTGAGGGGCTATAGGAGGAGAAGAAAGATGTTAGTCTCTCTAACCAGCAGGCTGCAGGAAGTTACAAGAATTGAGCACTTCAGCCTATTTAGGAGCTTGCTAGACATGCAAGCTGCTGATTCAAAGTTTTTTTCCCCTCAGACTCAAATCCCCGGGCTGGTGTCTGGTCCTGCCTGGGCTGCAGGGCAGGGGTAGCACCGAGACCCTGTTTGGAGGAAGGGAAGGGCTGTCGTGGCAGTGAAGCTACTCAGCTGGCTGGAGGGGCAGAGGGCATGCCTGGCTGGACGGGAAATTCAATAATGCACAGCGGAGGAAAAGAAGTTAACATCACATAGGCCTGGTCCAGGCCTGTCTGGGTGAGTTTTACAGGGCGGAGGGTCCTAGATTTATCTCCCTGACATCCCATTGCTGCTGGCTCCAGTTTTGCTTCACTGGCATTCACTATGATGGGAGTGTGAGCATAGACCACCCTTCCTCCCCCATTTTAAAAGCACAGGGGGAGGTCTTCTCCTGCTTAAGGAACTCTTGTTGTGACTTCCCAAGTGTTTGAGATCAGCTAGCCAACTCCCAGTGATGAGTGATGGGTTCCCCCTTGAAAGTCCCAGCCTGCTGAGACCACCACTACTGAGCGGAGGCAGTAGGGTTGCTGCTACCTGAAAGCAAAGCAAGTGCAAATCCCAGCCATGGAAGAAATTATTTGCAAGCTTGAGGCAGCGAATGGCTCAGTTCCATGCCTCCCTCTGCCTATTCCTTCCTCAGACTCCTCTAACTTCGGGTTTATAAAATATTTGATTTGATCTTTATATTGCTGGGCTTTTTGGTGTGTTACAGTGTTTGTTCAACACCCCAGCAGGAGCTCATGATAAATAAAATGTTGCCAAAGCACCGCAAAAATGATCCATGCATTTAGCTAACCCCCGCTGTGAAGCGTGAGGATAAATGCAAGGCTCTGATAAACAGGCCTGGCATGTCTGTCTGGTGGCTCTGAAATGATATAGCAGCATTAATGAATTCAAGGGCTGCCACTGGGTCAGATGGGGACAATGAGGCACAGGAGGGTAAGGGACTGGACAAAGGGCTTGTGGGAAGTCTATGGCAGAGCTGAGTAAGATGAAGGCCAGACCACCAGACCACCTGACACTAGCTACCTAACCATGCTCAGGTGCAATGCTTGCTTTACTTGAAGGAAGGTGTGTTCACCTCTTTCTCACTAGGAAGGTAGTAAAGCACTGGAACAGGCTATTTAGAGAGGCTGTGGCTCCGGAGGCAGTGCAGGAATAGCGAGGACGGATGTGCAAACAAGACACTTGGTTTGCAGATGCACCGTTAGCACGGTTCTTAGGACACCACGGCATGACACCTGGACCCAGCGGGCAACCAGAGCTGCTTGCTTTCTTAGTGGTCGTAGTGCTCATCTCATGGAGATCACGGTGGGTCATCGCTCTCACCTGCTTGCCAAATCCAGGTTCTCCATTTCACTCCATGTCCTACCTCCTTCCTAGCAAGTGCGGCTACAGAGGAGGAGAAAGGGGATGACGTATGAGTTGCAACCTGGGCTCGGACCCCAGGGATGATGGAACAGCACCAGGGCTGGCCTTGGCCCTTACTTCAGATGCAGCGGTCCATGGGTACCACGTGGCCAGCGGGGACGTGTATCTCTGCCTGCAGCTGGGATGAACTGGAACTGCTCAGCTGGGCTAACAGACTGCTGCTCCACAAGCTGTGGGAAGCTGGGGCTGGAGTGAGTGTGGTCAGCTGGGGCCCATGGCTTGGGATTCCCAAAAGGTGCCGATGGGCCCTTGCTCATGGACACAGAGCTCCTCACACCCTGCCCTGGGGCTGGCTAGAAGCTGACCCTTCTCCAGTAAGACGGTAAAATCTGCAATCCCATAGGGCTCCACTTAATTAAATGCCTTGCAAGCTTAATACCGGCCCAGCAAAAGGGACCCCTTAGGGCCATATACCTTTGAGGGTATACAGGGAATCTGGCTTTCCCCACCAGACCAGGCTCTTCAGGCAGAAACCTAAGTCAGGCAATGGAAACAATGTCTGGAAAGGATTTCCAGGACCTGAAAGTTAATGCAGCGCAAAGCTGCCCTTGAGTGCTTGGAAGGTTTCCCCCTTTGCCCCTGACGCATGGCTCCATGCCACAGCTGCTCCTTTCCATTGGCTTGACTGCGCATTGTTCTCCATCAAGATTTTTTATCATCGTATATGGTCACATTGTGGGATTAAAATGAAGCCTTTATGGCTCTTGGAGGCTCTGGGTGAGCTGCCCCTCTGGGATGCATTAATATCAGAGGAGCCCAGCTTGTATCTTATGAGCAAGCTCTCACCCTCCTAGCATACTAACCTGGGGTCTCCTTCATTGACTATGTCAGAGCAAGCGTCATTTTGTGGTTGGGCAGGTTGTACGGTTGTGCCCCGACTTCAAGTTACAACTTGGCCGGCAGAAGCCCAAGCTGCTTCTGTGCACAGCACTTCCAGGGTTAGCATTTCTTTTGCAAACTGCTTGAGGATTATGAGTAAAGTAGGACAAGAGGCTTATTAAAAGACTACATCTGGAATAAAGCAGAAGGCTATTTTTGTGTGTGCGCCAACCAAGCTTCTACCAAAAATATTGCCTCGTATGTCTGTTTGAAAATGAGAACCCACTGCAATTGCATCCCGTCTCAGCTCACTTGACATTGTTCTGGGAAGCATGAGATGAATATCTCACCATAGGCGTGCATTCACAGACATGAGCGCAAGCATCTTGTGTTTACTTGTGCAAGTGGACGGGGAGTTGTTGTTCACCAAGTCCCAGAATGGGGAGGAGCCCACTGGAATTAGTAGGAGGTAGGTTTAAAGCTAACAAGAAGATATACTTTTTAAAGCAACATGTAGTTAATTTGTGGTTTTCATTGCCCCAGGAGGTATTAGAGGCAGATAGCGTAGCCAGATTCAAAAGGGGACTGGACAAATTAATGAATGAGAGATCCATGACTCGCTGTTGAACAGAACGGTTGGAGATGTTTCCGTTGGCTTCTCTATACCAGTAATGGTGGATGATCGGGAGGATAGCCAATAGGGGATAGATCGCTCTAGACCAGGGGCAGGCAATTATTTTGGGCGGAGGGCCGCTTACTGAGTTTTGGCAAGCCATCAAGGGCCACATGACAGGGGCAGATAAATATTAATTTTCTAAATTTTTTAGGGGCCCCAGATAGAATGGCCTGGAGGGCCGCATCTGGCCCACGGGCTGAATTTTGTCCACCCCTGCTCTAGACCTATCCTGTTCAATGCTCTCCCTCTAGCATCCACTTCTGCCACTGTCAGAGACAGGATACTGGCCTGGATGGACCACTGGTGTGACCCAGTATGGCACTTCTTATGTTCACACACACACACACACACACACACACACACACACACTGCAGAAAAGAGAGGTGCATGGACTTTGGGAAATATGTGCCTTACACATTTGGCTTGGGCTAGAGGTCATATTGTAAATGCCAGCTCAATTCAGCCATACTTGTGTCCCGTTCTCTTCATCATTCTCATTGTTCTCTGACAATGGGTAGGTGTTTGGGAAATGGCTGTAGTTCATTTGGACACCCTCAGGTTCCCGTAAGCAAAGAGGTGCCTGCATACTGAAAAGCATAGTTGCTTTTTGCTACACTCCTGTTCTTGCTTTCAGAGAACTAGGAACAAATGCAGTATCCGAGGCAGAACAAGGCAACCTGTGCCCCTGGGCAGGGGACCAGCATGAATCTAGTTTGCTATTTCAGCTACACTTGAATCCTTCTATTGATCCACACCCAACATGTGTCCTTTCCTTGTGGTAGCACCGCCCGGGGTCGAGTGTTATGGGAAGATCCATGAGCAAGTCCACAGAATGACGACATGGGTTTGCTTCTTCTTTCTGAGAGTCTCATTTTCTGTTTCTGCCATCCCATAGGTCTGGTTGCTGCTAGAAAAAAATACTTCACCGTTGCTTGCGGGTTGAAAGTTCAGATGGTGAACATGGCCTCCTGCCCCAAACACCGTGCAGGTAGTCAACAACCTGTCAAGAGTGGCTTGCGCCTCTTTAAACCCACCGTGGAAGTCAGGAGGGGCTTTTCCATGTTGGTTTTTTTTGTCTCCAATCTATTATTCATCTCCAGCTTCCCCTATCCAGGAGGCAAAATAGCAGCTGCTCACAGCAGCATGAGCTTAAATTCCCACATGCTGTTTTATAGGGGTCTGAGGTGTGCAAATAGGTTTCTTTTCATTGTGCTGAATAGACAGCTCTGCCTCAGGCAGCAGAGTGCAAATACACAAACTCAACAGCCCGTGTGATGTGTTTGCATCTTCCTGCTCCTATAGGCTTCCTTACATCTTCTCAGGGGGCTTCAAGAAAGGTGTTGGTGGTCACCCGCCTCCACTGTGGAGAATCCTGAAGGCTGGTGGGGTGGAGAGGATAGACAACCAGCCTGGGGAGCATTTGCAGTGAGTAGCTGAGGGGCTCCTCAGTAATTTGTTCTGCAGGTTTCCACTGCAAAAAGAGTTGAATGGTCCCCAGGCAAAAGTCTGCTGCTCTTTACCTTAACATTGAAATATGAAGGCATTTTTCCCAAGCTCCTTGGGATGTGGGTCACAGGGGTTCTCCTAAACTCAAAGAAAATGTGAAACCCCTTGTGGCAGGGCTCCTTTGGTGCCTGTCACTTTAAGAGGTTTGAGCAGGCTGTGGAGCAGCCAGCAGGTGCAATGCGGCCTAATGAGGCGGTCACATGACCGTGGGAGGGCTCCTGGATTGGAGGATGGGGCTGAGCAGCCTCAATATAAACCCGGACACTCAGCGCTGGGGCAGTTGCTGCAGGGAGCCAGAGGGCAAGCATCTCCAGCTGGAGATCTGCTGCTCCCAGAAAACTGGAGGGCAGGGTAGGAGCTATGGGGATGGAGGAGGTTCCTGGTCCTGGGGAGTGACCTAAAAATACACCCTGCTGAGGTTGGATGGTGTGGTGGAGCAACTATCCAGTGGTGGGGCTCCCCAGGAAATGCCACACCTGTGCCTCCCTAGTGAAAGGTGAGTATGGGGTGCCATATAGCCTCAGCCCCCATGACCTGGTGGGTCACCCCATAGAGGGCACAGGCGAAGGGTGCAGGCACGTCATCAGGCTTGAGACCCAAGGGGCATAAGGCTGAGAGCCTCAGTGAGGGGGCAAAGTAGTGGGCCCAGTGAGAAGGACGCATAGAGTAGCGTCTGCATGGGCGGGCCTGAACGACTGCACGTGGGCCACGTAGAGTTGGGGTCGCATGGGTGGGCCTGAAGGATTGCACTTAGGCCAGCCTTAGAGATTGAGTGAGCTGGGTTTGGAGGGGCCTGAGAAGGTGGATCTGTGTGAGAGAGAGGGTGAGGGGTCAATTAACCTGACCAGAGAAACCCTCAACTAGTCAATGGTGGGGCCAGGAGCAGAACGGTCAAAGGGCAGGAGCGCCCACCGCAAGGGACGCCCAGAGCCAGGGGCCTGAAGGCGATGCCAGGGCATGTGTGGCCAAAGGTCCTGGAGGGGGCCATTGCCGAGAGGGAGGAGGGTTCAGGGAGCTCGGCAGCCCAAAATCAGGGCGGAGTAGACCACCTGAGAAGGAGGGATCCAGTTGGGGTCTGAACACCAGGCAGGCATAAAGGAGGTGCATTGTGGGATGCATATAGTGATGCCATCTGCGAGGCATGGGACATGGTTTAAGGGGAGGTTCGGAGCCGTGTATAATGCCCTTGGCATTGGGCATTAAATGGGCAGCCTCCTGCCTTGTAACCATTGTTTCAGTTACATCCAAGACGTGGCAGGTGGGTGGACTTCCCTAGACAGGTGGGTGGACCAAGGATTTGACCGGCCGTACGATGTCACACCCCTCCTCTTCCATGCCATTGCCTCCTATTCCCCTCCCCAAGGAGCTCTTTCATGGTAATGGGAGTTAAACAGGCTCCCTCATTTGGCAGCTCCACATTGCTTTGCCTGTTGGGAAGCTGCAAGGGAAGCCCTCATTTGTAACAGCTAAGACTTGTTTCAGAAAGCCGCAGCCAGCCAAGAAAGATGATCAATAAAACACGGAGGAAGCAGCAATTGTCCTACAAGCCGGTTCTTTCTGAACAGATCAAATAACCCACATGCACGCTCAGATCCCTTGGGAAGAGATCGAGCGATAGCGAGATGGCACAGGATGATGCTGTTGCGCTTGGACAGGCTATGTGCTCAGCATTGAACCTAGCTAGGTCACTTAGGAGAAGATGGCCAGAAGGCTTCAGTCCTCACACTCAAAGCTGTTTAAGGTAGGGTGAGCATGAGTCAAAAATCTAGACAGGGTCACATTTAGGTTGTGGCAGAGCCTGATGTGTGAGCATCTCACACTAGGCCTGGCAGGAGATTTAAGACATGCAGGGCCCTCCTGCCTGCCTATCTGTGAATGTCACGGATAGGGCTCAAGGCTGAACTGCATACCCGGGGGAGCAAACAGTTCCCATTGGTTTCTATGAGGCTGCATGATGGGTGACTGTGAAAATGATGTCCATGGTCTGTCCCCTAATGAATGTGGATGATCCAAAGAAGTTAGGGATTAAAAGAAACCAGCAAAGCTTGTTTGGGTATTTTTCCTTCAGGTTGGTCCCCGGTTGGTTCAGTAGCATTTTGGGTCAATCTGGTCTGAAGGAGACTCATTTTTCGTGTATCAAGAGCAGAGCACCATATGACTTCGCTTCAAAGCCCTGCTGCTTAAAATGAGATATTTCTGCTAAAAAATGCCCTGCCTCTTAACTTTGAGCAAAATAAACACATGCATGAATTTAAAAGGTCTCCTGTGCCTCATAGAAGATGTCTCCTCGTGAGCAGATCTTTATTTGATGTTGTATTGTTTTCTTAATTTGAGACGCAGAGCATTTGGGCCTGTTTCAGGTTCAAGGGCAGCTTATACTCGAAGGCATATGGTATCTTCCTAGGTCTTCCTTTGGCTGTCAGCCCTAAGACAATCGCGCACCTTGCAATCATTAATGGCTTTGACCCTCTCATTAGGACCCCGATTTACAGACTGCAACAGTGGCACAGGGAAAGGGGCAAGGTAGCAGGGGATGCCAGTGACTGATTTGGAACCGGAGCCCAAATTTTCTCTGTCCCCGTCTAATGTCCTATTATCAGTATTTTCAGCCTCTCTCTAGTACTGTTCCATGGCTTGGAAAAGCTTAATACATGATGATGACAATACATTTATGGCTAATTTGTGGTCCAGAGCTCAATGAGCCCATCAGTTGGAAGGTGCGCTAGATGACTATTAGACATTGCTACAAGACCTTTGGGACTCTACAACCATCGATAGCTGTGAGTTACCCAGGTATCAAAGCAGCTGTTCATTGGTTAAGCTGATATTCGAGTTCCTTAATCAATGGGACCTTAATATAAAGCATGTCCTATCAAGTACTCCAAAAGCACTTGCCGTTTGGACATTAAAGTCTCAGCTAGCCCCTACCCACATGCAGTGTAGTGAAAGGCAGTGGCTATTATTTATAGTGCATCTTTGGAGCTTGCAGTGTGCAGAGAT